CGCACGAAAGTGCGCGCGTGTGACGATAGCAGCCACAGTAGCATGCAGAAAAGACTCGCTTATATATACACGAGATTTGGAAGTTTTTATCCAGACGACCAATCGACATGATTGAGGTATCGTTCTAAAGGTCTTGCAGAGTGTGTCCAGAAAACGTTTTCAATTTTCATAAGCGATTATGACAATTCTTAAAAATTAGGCCAAAGTGTTGTGAAACAAAAAATGTTTTTTTGCTTTTGCCGGTTTGAGGGCGTAAGTAGGTACACCCAACATGTTTAGTGTTATTCTATAGGTCAACACCTCGCCAACGATACCTTATATATTGTGTTCCGGCTATTAGTTGGAAAGATATAGGCTAAATTGATTTTAGTTCGTGTCTCCACTACGAGATGCTTTGCGATGTGTGTTGCGTCTGTATGTACTTTCTTTTAATTTTTATCAGTTCGTCGGAATATTTTTTTTTTTAATTTTTTATTTATTTTTTATTTTATTTTTTTTTATGTATGTTGCCGCATAACTTTGGACCACGTCAACCAATTGCGATAATTCTTTTTGCATCGGAAAGGTAGTGTCTCAGAGGTAGTCCTAATACTAATCTGGTTAAGATCCGATCAGTGGATCATGAGATATATCCTTACTAATATTATATATCCGAAAGTGAGTTTGTTGTTGTAGCGGCTACTAAGCCCCGTTCGGGACGGTTCATCCATCATCGTTGTCGTCTCTTTCAGCTAAGTGAGTTTGTTTGCTACGCTTTCACGCTTTAACTACTCAACCGATCATCACGAAATTTTGTACAGTGCTGTCATTTAGCCCAACTTAAAATATAGGATAGTTTTAATCTCAATTAGACAAGGGGGCGTGGCACCTCCCATACAAACGGAATTTTTCATACCGCATTACTAAGGAAATATTTTGGATATATTACTGGAACTTTGTATGGAGATATATAAATTCATTATTTACTCATGGATGAGGGCTGCCACCCTTTAAAAAATCAAATCTAACTTCCTTACTAATATTATAAATCCGAAAGTGAGTTGGTTTGTTTGCTACGCCTTCACGATTTAACTACTCAACCGATCATCACGAAATTTTGTACAGTGCTGTCATTTAGCCCAACTTAAAATATAGGATAGATTTAATCTCGATTAGGCAAGGGGGCGTGTCACCTCCCATACAAACGGAATTTTTCATACTGCATTACTCAGCAAATACTGGAACTTCGTATGGAGATATATAAAATCATTATTTACTCATGGATGAGGGCTGCCACCCTTTAAAAAAATCAAATTTAACTTCAATTAAGGGAGTTATTTATTTCAAAAGTATATTAAAAAATGGATGTCAAGAGGCTTAAAATAGCTGTAGTTCGAAGATATTTTGAAAAGGGTTGCCACCTGTTTGAAAAGTCAAGTTTAAATTAATTATACGCAAGCTATATGAAGAATTAAAATATGGCTGCCTAACGAAATATTGTTAAGAAACCTTTAGTTTGAAAGTTTTGAATAATCTTTAAGTCTTTCACAAGGTATGCCACCTTTCTAAAAATTAAATTCAACTATTTTAAACTAAGTATTACAGTAAAAGGCGCGCAATGGTCCTGGCGGTTGATTTATCGGTGGTGATTTCAGATTTACCCCTTCACAACTCAATCCTGGTGTCTCCGAATGAAGCTTCAACGCATAATACTACTGGCAAAACACATCCATTGGGCCAATCATAACACACAAGAGTTCGATATACTCAGTGGTGCAGCAGATCGATTTAATCTGATATTCACGGCACTTTTTCTAACTTGGCGTTTAGCCGAAGTGGATCATAAATAAGATTTTTAGTAATAACTTAACTCCAGCGCCTACTGGCAAGTGAGATTGTGAAACTACTCTATCCTGAGAGCCACTCGAAAGCACACAAAAAACTTTGTTAAAATCGTTCCGGGCATTTAGGAGGATTTCACTCACAAACACACATACAAAAGAATTATATGTATGTGTTTGTACGGTGCCACGCCCTCTTTCCAAATAGCNAGAGCCACTCGAAAGCACACAAAAAACTTTGTTAAAATCGTTCCGGGCATTTAGGAGGATTTCACTCACAAACACACATACAAAAGAATTATATGTATGTGTTTTTGTATGGTGCCACGCCCTCTTTCCAAATAGCCCATTTTTCTTCATGAGTATAAGATAGAGTTCATATATCGCCGGACCAAGTTCCAGTATTTTACCATGAACACTTCCAGAGATATGCAATATGAAAGATCGGTTTTTATGGGAGGTGCCACGCTCCCTTTATACATCCAAATTTTGTTTAGCCTATAACCATACTTCGGGCATCTGGGGCAGGTGTCTGAAACTAAAAAAAAAAATCGGTTCGGCCGTTTTCGAGCTTTGCGAACACATAAAAAACGGCTTTCAAAATATATATTAGTATTGAAGATTGGTATGAATGTAAATGGATTTGAATATGTGTCACAATATGTATCACATAGGTTGCCATCTTTTTAAAAGGTTAAATTCAAACTATTCAATATTTTAAATGATTATTATAATATGGGTATCAATCGAAATGGGGTTTCAAGGGCTTCATTTCAATATTACATGTAAGAGGTTTCCATCTGTTTAAAATCTCAAATTCAGTTAAGGGGATACGTTAATTGAAAAAGTATGACAAAGAAAGTTTTTCGAAAATATTTTGAAGATGGTTAAACAAATTTTAAACCTCCTGTTTTTTAATTGAGTTTTCTTGAAATAAAATTTACTCAATGAAGCACGTATACTCAGCGAAGCGGGTGAGGGCGATCTAGTATATATATATATATTTTTATATGAGTTGAAGTCGGTTTTTTTTTGCTAAAAATTACTTGTTTTTTCAAACTTTCAGGAATTAAAGTACAAAAAAAACTAAGAGGGTTTTGTTCCAGGATGTTTCGATTCGTATGCCTTTGTGGGCGTGGCTGGGGTCTGAAATTAAAAAAAAGGAAATTTTTTAAACTACCACTGAGGCCGCATTACTCATTCCATACCATTGATGTGGATATCAGTAGAAAGCTCTATCCCGAATCCCGGTACTAGATGCCTTAGTGGTTACCGAGATATATCTTTGTAGTCATAAAGTGGGAGGTGCCACGCGAAATTCCTAAATGTGTATAGAATTCTTATTTATTGTTAAAAGATTGTTGTAGCTACTAACTTGGAGTAAATTAGAATCCTCAGTTACTGAAATATCGGAGTTTTCTTATTTCTGAAATTTACCGTTATATGGGAAGCGGGTGTAATTTTAGTCGGATTTGAATAATTTTTAACGAATTGCTTTTCCATACCATGGTTATTAAGTGAACCGAGTTTGGTAGAACTTGATAAATCGGTTACTGAGATACACATATGTGGTAGGTCCTGCATTTTTCGAAAATACCTTTATATACGCCCATTTTCAATACCAACCTACCTTGGATAAAGGGAAATCTATATACCAAATTTCGTTGAGATATCTAAATTTTTGCTGGAGTTATCGTTTACACGGACGGACGGATGGACGGACAGACAGACATGCATGGCTTAATCGACTTTTCTATTCATTCTGAACATTTGTGTATACATTTGTCTATATCTATCTCGATTCGTTTTGGCTGTTATAAACAATCGTTATGTGAACAAAGTTAATATACCCTTGTGCAAAAGTGCGCTCGGGTATAAAAAGGCGATTGCAGCACCGTACTCGTGTCAGAAGTGAAACCTCGTAAAAAAACAAATGTGTGCAGCGCAGAGAATGAGACGAATACAGTTGCTTATTGTATCTAATGTTGGTGTCAAGTTGCTACGTCGTTATCATTTTTCACATTTAATCTTTTTTTTTTAATTTCTATATTTTTTATATTTTTTTTGATACGAAGGATATGATCATACTTTGTCGCTTTATTCTGTATTGGAAAAATTATATGGTTCAATGGAATAGAATTCCGTGTTAAATATTTATTTAAGAAAAATAAAACATTTACACCGAAATACATAAAAAATAAAGAATTTAACTGCTTTATAAATAGAAAATTTGTATGAAAATGTCACTTTATAGAGGTCTTTAAATCTATTTTATTTTTTATGAATAGACCCGTTAGACTTTTGTTTGGATTTCCGGTGATTTTTTGATAAATCAAAGTTATGTCTACTCTTAGAAACACAAAATAAAAAAATCAAAACATTAGCAACGATTCGTATGAATAAAACTTTTTGCGTCAGTTTCCAGGGCAGTTAAAAAATTAGTATAATTTTCGTCACGAAATTGATATCATAAATTTTATGTTTCTAGTTCAGCTTTCGTCACTCGAAATATTTACTTCAAAGAGGTGTTTTATTTGATTTAATATTCATTACACCCGATTTTAAAACTTTATACAGATTTAAGAGAAATGTCAACAAAGAGGTGCGCTATCCTAATGACCTGCAGTCAATAAGTTAATAATATTTTTAGAACATTCGGATATGCACTTTTGTAGTCCATTCAATTTTTGTACAATAAAGTGCAAGTTTCAACTGTCTGTAAAATAGCGTTGATTTTTGAAAATTTTTTTGGTGATGGTGCTGCCCATTTTCTTTCATACAAAGTATACTGGACAAAATTTTTATCTACAGTGCCGAACAGAAGTATTGGCACAGTGAATTTTTCGCAATATATGCAAAGTTCTTTATTCTAATTTATTTTCGATAATTTTTTGTAAAAATATTGTTCATTCTACACCAGAAAACATAATAATAAAATCTCTAAACTTTGTGCAAAACTCAGGAAAATTCATTAAATTTGCACACTTATTTGCAATTTTAATTCGATTTTTGGTAATTTTTTTCACGCAAGTTCTTCCGTACAAAGTAATTCGACAATTATTTTTTGTGTGGAGAAAATGAGCAACACCTTCCACTAAAAAAATTGCCAAAAATTAACGCGATTTTCTGGCAACTTTAAACTTGCACTTTGTTATACTAAATTTGCATGGGCTATAAAACTGCATACTTTGAATTTTTTTTAAATCTGAATAAAAAGTTGCAAATTAGTGTGCAAATTTAAAGAATTTTCCTGAGTTTTGCACAAAGTTTAGAGATTTTATTACTACGTTTTCTGGTGTAAAATGAACTATATTTTTATAAAAAATTATCGAAAATAAATTACAGTAAACAACTTTGCATATATGTCGAAAAATTCACTGTGCCAATACTTTTGTTCGTCACTGTATATATATAAATGTGAATGTCTGTTTGTTTATTATCTTATGACTTTTGAACCACTACACGGAACCGCACGAAACTTTGCACACTTATTTGCTTTTACCCCGGGAAGGTTATAGGCATGGTTTTGTTTGCAAATATGGTGTCAATTTTTCGAGGGGGCGTGGCACCTCCCATAGGGCTGCAAATTTTTAGTCAGCTATAACTTCGGAACCATAAGTCACATGAACTTGAAATTTGGTATGCAGACAAATCTATGGTTGATGCTTATAGTAAGGTTTATATAAATGACTTTGTTGGAGGGGGCGTGGCATATCTCACAGTCGTAGAATTTTTAATCAACCATATCTTCGGAACCATAAGTCACATAAAATTGAAATTTGGTATGTAAACATATCAATGGTAGGTGCTTATAGTAAAATTTATATAAATGAGTTTGTAAATGGAGGCGTGGCACATAATATAGGCGTGGAATTTTTTATCAGCCATATTTTTGGAACCACAACTCACACGACTCCTTTAATTCCTTTTGATATGCCGTTCGAATTTAAAAGACCTCAGTTTCCAGTTCGCTTAGCTTTTGCAATGACAATAAACAAGAATGCCTCAAAGTAAAACCCGAAACTTTATCGAAAATAAAATGTATGATAATTGTATTGGAAAATGCATTTATGTTAATAGATATTTTGAAGTATTAAAAAAATGCTGTGAAATCATATTAGAGTTATTATTCGTAAGAAATTAGATAGTATTTCTTCTATTATATAATTTATTGGAGATATTTTAACCTAAATAAAAATACCTGCAGTGCCAAAAAATTATTATTGCATTTCATTCCATAACACCCAAGCTATACAGCTGTCCTGTTGGTGTTGTTGTAGCGGCTACAACAACCCCGCCCAGGACGGTTGGTATCTCAGTCGTCGTTGTTGTTGTTGTTGTTGTAGCGGCACTACTAAGCCCCGCCTGTTTCGGGTCAACTTTTCAATCATTATCGTCGAGCTCAACTAACGGTAGGCCCAGGAAACGAGCTGTTTCGATGGTGTCGGACCAAAGGGAGAGGGGTGTTAGTTGAGTCGGATTGAGCTGGCATGTGAAGAGGTGGTTGGTGTCGTGGGGGAGTCTCCACATGCCGGGCACTCATTTGGGATGTTTGGGTCGAGTCTGGACAGGTAGCTGTTTAGGCGGCTACAATATCCACACCGAAACTGAGCCAGAGTAACGCGGGTCTCTCTAGGTAATTGAAGCTCCGTCTCTTCCACAGGTGGTGATTGGGCTCCGATAATGACATTCTTAGGCCTGGAGTCGAGGTAGGTGGAGACTGACTCCCTATGAATGTCGTTAATCGCTTGTCTGTACGTCATTGGGTCCAGTGGTTGGTCTGTGTAGGTCTGGACTGCGTCCTTGTACACCAATAGGTGCCCCCTGACGTGCCTGGGCGGAGCCTCCTCCTCCAGCAGTGGTCTGTTAGGGCGTTCGCTTCTGTGACACCCCACCAGAAACTGCTTACTGAGCATTTTATTGTGTTCCCGTACGGGGAGCACTTGGGCCTCGCTGTGTAGGTGGTGCTCAGGCGTCATCAGAAGGCACCCAGTCGCTGTCCGGAGTGCGGCGTTCTGACAAGTCTGTAGCTTCGTCCACTGCGTCCAACTAGTCCCCGGTGACCAAACAGGTGCTGCATAATTTAGAACCGGCCGGCCAATTGCCTTGTATGTTGCCAGCAACGTTTCTTTGTCTTTGCCCCAAGTGCTGCCGGCGAGCGACTTGAGGACCTTGTTGCGGCTCTGTACTTTGTTGACAACTGCGGTTGTGTGCGCGGAGAAGGAGAGCAGGCTATCAAAGGTAACCCCTAAAATTTTTGGGTTGTTCACCGTCGGTATAGGTGTGCCGTCGACGTGAATGCCTAATTCTAGCCTGACCTCCTTCGTCCAGGTGGTGAAGAGGGTCGCCGTTGATTTCGTTGGGGAGAGGGTTAGGCTCCTTGCAGTGAAGAAGCGAGAAAGGCTGGAGAGATAACCGTTTACTTTTGAGCAGAGGTCATCAATTCCATTCCCGGACGCCAAAATCGAACAATCATCAGCGTACGAGATCAGGGAAACTCCTTCAGGAGGCTGCGGGAGTTTCGAGATGTAGAAGTTAAAAATTAAGGGGGAGAGAACACCACCTTGTGGAACCCCTTGTTTTATTCTTCTTGGTTTCGAGGTTTGATCTCTGAAGATTACTGATGATTGTCGACCACTCATATAATTCGCCGACCATCGCTTCAGTCCCTGTGGGAGAGAGGAGGCCTCAATGTCTTCTAGCAGCGTGGAATGGCAGACGGTGTCAAACGCCTTTGACAAGTCCAACGCTACTAGGACAGCTCTCTCACAGGGGCGGTTGCGATTTAGGCCACGTGTTATCTGGGTGTTTATGG